GGTGTCTAGAAACATTTGAGGAATAAATTTACCACACTAGTAACTAGGTATTAAGGAAATTAATGCCCTTCACTAAAGCATGTCTTCTGAAGCTGACAAATGCAGCAAACCAATAGACATTAAGGAGCAGCCACTTTGATGCAGCATGTGCACGGATTCACAGATGAAGAAGGACTGTGCCAGGCTTCATACAAAATGCAACCCAGAGGAAATGAAAATTACTTTTATACTATTTATTTTCTCTTTTACGTTGCTCCATCCTCATTTTCTGAAACTTCTATTTACCAGACATGAGATTTCTATTCATTCTCTACAACCGGTGTTTTAACCTGTGATTCATGCCCAGTGTTTTAGGTCATTTGCTTGACAGACCTTTTATTAGATTTTACTTATTTATTGAATCTGTTTTCTGTGGTGCTGGGTTGGAGGAAGATCTTGCACACTGTTCTACCACTGAGCTCTACAGGGTTTTACTCTGACTTGGGCTGTTTGTAAAGTCTGGAAGCCTGCTCCTTTTGTCTGCATATGATTTCTGCACTGTACCTGCACAATTTTCTTAATTATCTCTGAGATTTTGTCTTTTGTACTCTGGCATCTCTTTTTCTCTGTACTCATTAAAAACAACTTTTGATGTTTCTTTCATCAGGTTTTCCTCAAATGTTGGGGAATTCTTGGCTGTTCTGACCCATTTCAGTGTACAGCGGCACCTTCCACCCCCAACTTAGGTCTGCTTGATAAATAATCAAGAAAATGGAGGAAAAACAAAGATGGAGTAAGTAGGAAGTTTGGGTGGAATCTCACCTTTCTACTTTCTGTGTATCATAGTGTTTTCATTTGTATTAGTTTTTAAAATAAGCAGATGAAGAATGGGTTTCATATGGCATACACGCTTAGTTTTTGGTGAGCCTCCTCCCATTTTCCTGACCTTTCCTCCTGGCCCTGACTCTAGCTTCACTTTTCTCTCAGTAAGCTTCGGCCTTCATGGCACATATGCTGTGACCCTCCTCCTTCTCCCTGCCCTACTCTTTTTCATCTTTCATGGGCTCTTTTCTAGTTTCAACACACACACACACACACACACACACACACACACACACACACGTGACAGATACATACACAGACACACAGACACAGATATACACATAGACATATACACACATTCTTAAAATGTAGAATGCATACATGATAGAAAACATGTATATTTATCTTTCTCAGCTTGACTTGCTTAACTAAAGATAATAATCTCCTGTTTAGTCCACTTATTTGGACATGTTGTCATATCATTTTTCTTTGCAGTTGAACAAAACTCCATTGTTTATACGTGCCACAGGCTGTTTCTTTGATTCCTGATTTTCTTTAAGACTTTTGTCATGAAGGTATATTGGACTATGTCAGATGCTTCTTCTTCATCTACTGAGATGATCATGTGGTTTCTGTCCTTAGTTCTACTTATATGGTATATTACATTTATCATTAAGCGTATGATGAACTAAGCATGCATCCCTAGGATGAAATAACACTCAAGCATTTTTTAGATTAGATGTAACCTTCCTCAAATTTCAATTAATTCATATTCATTTATACAACCGAAGAAGTGTCCAAGCAAATATCTTAATGTTTTGATGCTTCATTCTTTCTTGGGTCTTACTATAGCCCTAAGGGCTATTTAATTTTGGTAAATTATTCTTCTGTAATGTAGTGGACACTGGAATCAAGTTCTGCTGTGATTTGGGAATGATGATTGTATTAATTCTTGCTGCTGCAGAGACTAGCTACCACAGACTGGGGAGATTAAAACATCAGTTTAATTATGTTTAATTAAAACATAATTAAAACATTATTACTATACCACTCTGGAGCTCAGAAGTCTGAGCGTTGGTGTCATGTGGCTAATGCCAAGGCATCAGTAAGGCTGGGACCCTCCTAGAGGATCTTGGGAATAATATTTTCCTTGCTTTCTAAAGTTTCCTGTATTGAAGTAGACTTCAGTCTACTTCACACATTCACGTTATACCAGTCTCTGTCATATTGTCATAGTTCCTTCTCTGACTACTGCCTTCCTCATCCATCCTTCAAGGACCTGTGTGACTATACCAGACTACTTAAGTAGCCAGGATAACACCCCTGCTGATCTGAATGTGATCACATCTACCTTATGCCACATCAAAGCAACATATTCATTCACAGGTTCTAGGCATTAAGGCATGGCCATTTCTAGGAATTGTTATTCTGCCTAACACAATGACATGCCAAATTTAATCTCTGGCTTATAAAATGCTAATACATCTGTTAATAATTCCATAATTTGCTGCCACATAGTAAAGTTTAATTCATTTTTGAAATATATGTGGTCACATCTGTTTCATCGTGCATCACCTCTTTAGTCAAATCTCATACTTGGTTTCCACTTCTCACTACTCTGGACACATGACCTCTTGTGCTGCATGGTGATGGATATTCCTCATTACCACTCATTGTTCCTTCTGTTCAGAGCCCTCTTCCTATGTGTGCATAGGGCATCATAGCTCCACAGTGGACCAGGTGGGGAATACATTGTAAAGGTTCATATGAGTAAGAGAGAATTAAAACTCTTTAGCTTTACTTTCAAATTAAGTCCCATCTGATATTTACAAGATCCTTATATCCAGATGACACATGTTAGTTTTCTGTTTCCATTCTGAGGTTCCAGTAGAATAGCCAAATTTTGGGATCAGGTAGAGTAAGTACAACTCATTTTCACTTGCGTGAAATATTTTATCACCGCTGAGAATCCTGGACCAGACCAGGATTGTAATTGTAATTGATAAGAATGAACCAAGAATTTTTTCCCCCTGTGTTTTTACTAAGCACTACTTCATTGATGGTTAGAGTCTGAGTCTCACCTTCTTTGTATTCTTTAAGGCTTTTGGGCGAGAAGGTAAGAGTTTACAAGCCATTATACTTATTCACCTGTTCTTTCATTATTTTATATGACTGGATTTCCAAATTTATAGTTGGGTGCATACCCACTAAGGAAAATGACTACATTTTCCAGCCTTCCCTGCAAATGACTGTGGGTTTAAGACGTATATCCATGTGGAAGGAATGCTAGTGTAGAAAATGGAGGGAGCTCTCATGCTTGCAACAGAGATCTAATGCTTTCCCATTTATTTTACCTCTGACCTTATATAAAAAAGAAATGCCCCTCTCATTTAAATAGTTGTTAGTTTAGGATTCACAAATATAATCCTACTTCAAGCATCACAGGAAAAACAAAAACAACAAAACAAAACCAAAAAACATCTCCAAACCTGCAGGTATAGAGCTAAGAGTAGGTACCATTGTATCCTTCAAAGAATCAGAACAAGAAAACACATTTGCAATGATAACCAAAGATCTTTATTCCTGTCTTTAGTTTCATACAATCACATTGGAAAAATAGTTGTGTCTACAAATGTACTTTCAGCAAAGGAAGCCAACAAGACAAAATAGTATTGTGAGTGACTATGGACAAAGTATTTATCACTGGAAATCAAGTACTCCATTCAGCTTCTAATTTATACATCCATAAGACAAGCAGAAAGGGGAAGCTCCAGATCTGAAGCCGGACTTTTCTTAATTGAAGCAGATCCGAAGAAGATTTTAGGGACTGCAAATCCTAGTCGGAGAGCCTAATCCACAAGAGATGGAGTCCCCATCACCATAGAAATGCAATTCTGAAAATCCCTTTTACAAGTATCTTTTTTTAAGTCTTTCTTTTTGTTATTCCCTCCCCTTAGATATTTTGCTTTATTTCACACAGCAGCCTCTCTGCTTAACATTCAGACTCAGTCACACTGATTGTCTGTTCTGCGCTTTTGAATAGTTAAGGACATGCTATAAATAAACACATCAATTTTCCTCTATTGCTACCCTTGCTAAAAGCTTCAAATAATTGCAATTAATCTAGAGTCTGCTTATCATTAAATATATTTTTCTTAGAAAGAATATATAGCATATGAAATTACAAGCCTTTTATGAGCTAAGGATGAATTTTAGAGTGCTCAAATAATATTTACAATGTAAACATCACAGTTGTTACATAAAGGAAACCACAATATTCACAACACACTTTATTTGGTTTTGCTATGGAAGCTGTTTTCTTGAATTAGATATGTAGAACTCATAATGTAACCACTCGGTTGTTTTCCTTCAAGGATTCTGAAAAGAAAAAGAATTAGTGCTTTAAACAGAAACAATTTAAAAACGTGGGTCATGTTGTTTTCATTCACTCATTTAGTAAACCTCCATGTCTCCTGTTGCCCCTCATCAACAGTCTCTGCTGAGAATTGTGTGTGACAGAGTCAAGAAAGAACTTTCCAGAACACTGACTGTCACAAAGGAACTGGAGGGTGAAGATGCTCTCTACTTAGTCATTAATAGTGAAGCATTTGTAATTTTCACAAGCCGACTGCCGTCAGGGGGGCCTGCAGTACTTGATCAAAGCCACCTTCTGTAATAATGATGGGCTCTCATAAATTACTTATAATGGGATCTACCTTTATATTTTGGTGTCTGTCATGTTTTTTATCTGACAGAGAAATATTCACCATATGAAACAATATTATTTCTTTTGGTGCTGGGCCTGGAATCCAAGGCTTTTGGGCAGGCCAGGCAAGTGCTCTACCATTGAGTGTGAGTCAGGATCCTGTGTGTTTTCATTCCATCACACACATGGGAGAAAGGTGACTAAACTAGAAGTACCTTGTAGAGGCCAAACTCCTTATGGTGACCAGTGTCCTCGTCATGATGAGAATGGTGCATGTGTCACCTCAAGGTGTTCACTGGGGTGGGATCTGCCTCAAGTAGAGGTGTTATGTGGACTGGATAATATCTCTGGGTAGAAGGACTTTCAGCCTTAGGATGTTTTTGCCTACTGGCTCCTTCCTGCATCTATTCTTCAAGGTAGCTGTAAGGATACCATAAGAATCCGTAGGCGCACTCACCTCTGATCTTCAGCTCTGCTCAGAGGAGCCTAGTCTTCATATTTCTAGCTCTTCAGGGAAGTCTGGAGAGTCTCCCTCACTGCTACAGACCAGAAGGAAAATGAATGTGTTAACATTCTTCTCTGAGGAAGGTTCCAAAGAAACAATTATAACACCATGCCTATGTAATTATCTAGGCTCTGCAAGACACACTGGGGATAAACATTGATCTCTGCAGCTGATGATTGCCTGTGAATTGTTCCAAGACCTTAGTGTCTCAAATCAGCCTTATGGAATTATCATTTATTGGGCAGAGAGGATACTCTTGTCTGATTTCACCCGAACAGAATTATGCTTAATACCATGCGCACAAAAACAACTGGAATGAGAAGAGAGAGCATTCTACCCCTTATTACTGTGTCCAATATTTACACACTATAAGACACATGCTTTTAGAACTGGAACAGGAGATACATCCTGGTTAAATGTGATAAAGCAGGGTTGTTGGATCAAATATGATAGGGTTCTCCTGCTTGCCAAAATTGTTAATTGTACTTTCCATATTTTAAAAGCGAACATTTGATTAAACTGCCCCCGATGACAAAATAGCCATCATTTTCAACCCTGTTGACTTATAAATTCAAATGGAGTTTCCAGGTCAGTATTCCCAGGGAGACTGCTTTCTAATGGCTGTAGGCTAACATTCATGTGCCCGTATTTTAAAGGTTTGCCAGGGAAGTATGACATCAGTTTGAGTCGAGAATGAGTGAGCAGTTCACACAAAGTAGACCATGTGATGGAGAAAGTGAGATGTCTCCAAGTAGAGCTTAAAGTTTGAAGGTCATTTACATATTTTCACTTCATCCGGTTATCTTTTCCCTTACCTTCTCTTTCCATTCAGAATGGAATTCAAGTATTTCTTTACAGCCATTTGCTTTCTAAGACGGGTGTAGTTATCCGTGAAGACTGCATCCGAGTGTCGTTTGATTGGCACTGGGTCTTCCGAGATGTTACTGCTAAAAAAAAGTGAGAAAAAATGAAAGTAAAGATGTCAATAGAAAGTAGGAGATGCATCAATGCTCTTTTTTTTTTTTTTTTACTGATTTTAGCTCAGTTTGACTCATTTGTAAATATGCGTCTTAAGAAAAATACATTTAGAGTCCATAAGTACCAAAAACTCTATTTCACTGGGGAGTGGGGTGGGGGCTGGTGTGTTTTATTTAATAACATACATTATTTTCTCTAAATAAGTTGATTGTAATCAAAGAGTTTCAGCCTTGGGCAAGGAAAATAACATTCAAGAAAGGAAAACAGAATTTGGAGATGGAGCATTTATTAAAAAATAATAAGTACTCTTTACCTGATTCGTTTTCCAATGAGTGACTCAAGGTATTTTTTGGCAGAAATCTGACCCAGAAGTCTACTGTAGTCGCTGGTGAAAACTCCATCAGCATGCCTGGCATTTCTAAAGCAAGGAAGCAAGCACAATAATTGCTTGGTAAAATCTCCTGCAGAGTTATCAAAGGAATCTGAAAACTACTTACAGAAATGCTCACTAAAACTTAAGTCAAAAATGAAGTCTAGCACCATAGCAAAAGGAAGTTCCTAGTTGCTTGGAGCAAGATATAAACTATAAGCTTCTAGCTACCTTGAAAAAAAATGAGCTATTTTAGATATGTGCTTCAGTTTTATTCCCTGACAGGATATTTAAAATGAATTTTCCTAGTAAACCTTGCTTTAAAATTCATTTATGGTTTCTATATTTTTATGGAGTTTTAGAAGCTGCTACCTTAAATAAAAATATATACAATGAAAAAAAAACCATGTAAATTTGGTCAAACTCGCCAGTATTCTGTGTTTTAATTATTCTTTGCCACCAAAAATAATGAGGAAACAAATCTCTTGCAACAGAGCAAACCTTGGGTCTACCAGTGAATCTTGTAAGCACAAGAGGAACCTTTTATACCTTGCCTTCAGTGTGACGTCGTTTGTGGTCTGTTCTGAGACACTGCTCTAGACAAGAAGTTGCATGAGTGAACAGCACTATTGGATATCTTGACCCCTTTTATTTGTTCACTCATGGAATCCTAGCTGTGGGAGTTTGACCTGGCATTTGTCTAATCTGAGCTATTGAATGATGCCTGAAGGCTGTAAGGCAATTTATGCCAATCAGGCTGAGCAGAGTCATGGAAAACTGTCTCTTGGTAAGATAAAACTAGACTATTTAATCTTTTTCACATGTGTTTCTGAAATAGATACATAAGAGTGAACTTACCTGGATACATCGTAATAGGGTGTGTCATTTTCCGCTAGGGCATTCTGTAAGATGTCAGTGTCTGCTTTTAATGACACTTGATCAGGGTCACTTGCTCCTTCAAACGGCACCCTGTCATCCAACCTATTAAGGCAAAACACACTAGAAATGCAATACCATCCTTTCTTAGAAAGTGGTGTTTATGGTCCTGCAACTATTTGAGACAGGAGAAGAAGATATTGGGACATAGTATCCATTTGCAAGAATAAGAATAGGATAATTTGACTCCATAGCTTCCATGTTTAATGAAGATATAAGTAGTAATTTGGGTGAGCTCACAAAATTGATGTCATTCAACTTCGATAAGCTTTTAAAACCAAACATAATTTCTACTTTATTCAATTCTAGTGAAGCTGTAAGCAAAGCACATTGATTGCATCAGCATACCTGACTATGTCCATTTGTGAAGTAACACTAGCAGGTAGAAAGCATTATACAAGATATAAACATATAAAAAGTGAACATTCAACATGATAACTGATACTTATTCATATAAGTGGTGATATTTAGTACCAATTGCTCAAATTCAGGCCAGGAGTAGCTTATAAGCTGCTTTCCTCTCTCTGGTTCCCTGACATGTACCACAAAGCTTTATGTCAGCAAGATATATTTCTCCTTATTGATCACACCTAAAGATCTCCACATTTGTGAGTGGTTATTACAATGTAGCAAATTTAATGAGTCCCTCTAGTTCTTCATATTACACATGTTAGCATATTCTGATTAGAAATGTATTATGCTGTACTACAAAATAAGAATCACCTTTATGACATATAGAATATAAACTACTTGTGGATGCATCTGTATTTTTGATACCAGTACTGTATTAAAAATGTGTGTGTGAGAGTGTGTGTGTGTGTGTGTGTGTGTGTGAGAGAGAGAGAGAGAGAGAGAGAGAGAGAGAGAGAGAGAGAGAGAGAGAGAGAGTATATATGTGTGTTCAAAATTAGGGTAAATCTCAGCTCTTGGGCACTTTTGTATCTCTGGGTGGTGCTGAAGCAGATAGTAAAAAACAATCATCTCATAGCCTGGGGTTGAGAAGTCAGTGTGAATTTCAGCATTCCTGAGACTGTTCATCTGCTGAGATCTGGGCATTGGGACTCTAGTTTCCAAATCGTGATTGGGGGGTGGGGCGTGGGCAGTGTGTTTTACAATTTCTCAGAGAACATTAATAGCTGAGAGACTATTCACTATACTGAGCATAAGATGGAGCAAATAACCAAATGGTGATTTGCCTTTAGATAACAGTGACTCTGTAGATTAGAAATGTCAAGTATGAAATGACTAGTAACATAAATCTGTTTTTCTTTAGGTTAAATTGAGTTGCATTCCTTATGAATGTGAAGCATGACCTTCTATATATCAAATAGTAAAACTAAGAACTCATAGTTTGAATAGAGAATACTATGAGGACTGTAGTTTAGTTCATATACTTCCTCATGATCTCTAATAGTGGCAAGGTGGTTCTTCCTGGACCTATTTCTGCCCAAGAAAATTTCAGGTGTGCATATCTCATTAATGAACTATTAATCTTATTGTCATTTTTATTAAATATCAATTTAAATGAAGCTGGCAAGTAAACAACTATTTTTCTACCAGAAACAGAACTGGCCTGAGATTGAAAAAAGCATAGGAATTTGTTTGTTTTCTAACACTAGTTTGGAAATGGGGTCTATCTGGTGGGCAAGGCTGATGTTGTCTTCCATATACTGAAGGTGAATTCTGGAGCCCAGAACAAACCTTTTAAGTTTGGTTGGAAATGAATCTGTGTAACACGGTGATCAAAGTAAAATAATATGTAATTTAAAATGCACCACTCTCCAAAATGACATGTGGGAAATCTCATTTAGATACAGAGGAAATGCCTGCCTATCTGAATTGAGAGTGCACTTTCTCAGAATGAGACTTACCTTACAGCAGAGGGTGGTCCAAAGAGAGGCCAGGCCAGTGACTGAGAGAACAGCACACTGAAGAGCATCAAGAATGCCAAGAACTGGGGCTTGCTTCTGGCTTCCATCTCGGTGCCTCTGGAAAGAGAAGGGATACTGGCTTTCCCAGCTACACTTGGCAACATTCTGAGGGTCTATCAATACTTCTGAAGGCTCTTGCAGAGTTGAGAAAAAGCCATTTCATCTTCAGAAAAGTATTAAGCTTATTGTTGTAAGATTACTTTTAAAAATAAAGATTTCCCTTGAGTTAAGACATTTGAATACAAACTAAGATCCCCTTTGTCTTTCTCTCAGCAGGCACTCAGTCACAGTTAGTGTCTGTTTGAGACTACACTCCTGTTGTGCTGCACATAACTAACTACAGACCCAGTGTTTTGATAACACAGTTGTAATATACAATCTGGTGTCTTTTCTGGTGAAGGAAAGAGCTTCAAGGAATTTTTCCCCTTTAAACTTTAATGTCTGATTACTATAAAACTTGAGTGCTACCCATGCAATGATTTCTAGTCAACTACATTGGCAAGTTTGCATGTTCATATGTGCATATATGGATATAAAGTATAGATATGCATCATTAAGGCAAAAATCTTGTATACATATTATAGTTAAATTCTTTTTTTCCCTGCATTCATTATAGATATCATGGAGAACTTTCTTCTTTAAGCTAAGGCTCAAGAAAATGAACTCAAGGATGAAAGCTAATGCCCTCAGAGCCATTTGGTGTTGGTACAAGTTTTCTCAGAAAATAGTGTGTGTGTGTGTGTGTGTGTGTGTGTGTGTGTGTGTGTGTAGAGCCTATGAGTCTTGCATTCCATACATTCACACATTGTATTTCTAAACACTTTCTAACTAGCATACAGGTGTTCAAGGATTCTGACTTTCAATAACTATAAAAGTCACAGCTTTTAAAATGTAAATGATGAAGAAAGTGAGTTCCTCCCAGGTCTAATCAACACAAGAAACAGAATGAAAAAGCACTTTAAGCATAAGTTGAAAACCTCAAAAACAAATGCAACAACTGAACCCTTTGGTTAAAACTCCACACACAAGCAAATTCATCTTCCTTCACTTTAAAAGAGGCAATATTTAACAAAGGTTAGGTAGGACTAAGAATCTTCTAAACAGATGGGTTCAGATGAAAGAAATTGAGGTATTTCTACCTTTATCGAGTGGCTTATCATTATCATTTCATTTTTCTATTGAAAAAAATGAATACTGTAAAATTCTTTTTAAGAGAGAGAGGAAAAAACCCTCCTATAAAAGTCCCAAAGACAGAGAGGAAATGAAGAAACGGAAGATTTTACTTACCCTTCAGGCAGGACTGTCTTTGGGGAGAGTGGGAGCTGTCTAGGGTGCTGAAGATCTGGCTGGGAGAAGGCTCCACCAGTCTGCCCGGTCCTGTGGAATGGGTGGCTGTTGCCAGCTAGGGCTCTGCACTCCAACCTGACCAGCATTTCAAAGTCCCTCATTTTATAGGGCTCTTGCTTAGGGCTGAGCAATCAGAAGGCTGCCCGAAAGACGTCACAGTGGTGATCCCATGGGATGAACAGGTCTTGAAGTTCTTATTAAATTGTCATCATGCCTGATTTATATACATTTATAGCAAAGAAGTTCAAGATACAGGAAATGTACTTTTTTTTAAACAAAAAGTGCCGAGCTGGATGTGCAATGCTTTAATCTTTACTCAGTTGTCAAGAATTAGAGGGTGATTATACTGCCATAGCCCAAGGCCTTGGGGGTTCCTTAGAAAATAAGGACTGCTTGTAGAAAAAAAATGCAGAAAACAAACACTTGTATTTGCTATGCTTACAGTATAATCCTTCCTTTTTTTGCAAAGTGTCAATTCTCTTAATGCCTTTTCATCTTTGTGCACATCAGAATGTTTTCTTGAAGAATATTCTAATTTTAAAAGCAACCACAAATTATTTTGCATCTTTCTGTTATTACATTTCCTTTATGTTGAAGCTAGCCCTCAGAAAAAGCTCCATTACATTAAGATGGTATAGTATGCAAATCATTGTCTAATCAATGGCATTATCGCTCTCCCATGCTTTGTATAAAACACTGTAATTCCCACTGCTTTCCTTCACATCTTATATCAGATGTTCCAAGGATAAATAGTGATCAGACTGTATACTCCAGGGATTGAAGTTTTCTTTCTCTTCAAAGGTATCCTCCTCATTTTAAGTCTTTGCGTAATGTTGAATTCCTTTGTTTCTCACACTGCCCTCAGAATTCTCCCTACTTCAGGATTTAACATCCCTGACTTTGTCACTTTACATAAAGGTAATTCCAAAAAATCAGCTGGTTTGAAACCTTTGTAGAGTTCTGTAATGACTGCTTAATTTCTTTTTCTTGACTTTGCACCCAAAGTAGCCTGACATACATTTAATTGGGACTTAACGTCAAAATGCAGCTATCCTAAGAGTGTCACAGAAAACAAAGACAATGTCCTATCTTTTAAAAGTCCTGGTGTGTGCCTTCTATTACATTCCTTTTGTATTTTCCTTGGGGAAATATAGCTCTCAATCTCCTTTACTTTCTTCTACTCTATGATTTTAGTATCTCCTTGCAGCATTCAAGGCTGACTGATGCAGTGAGAGTTGTCTTGCTAGGCTTAATCATATTTTCTAATCCAGTTACAAGAAAAATTAAATGAATTAAATTTCAAAATGTCTGGAATTTTGTTTTCCAGTTGACAGCTCTGACTTAAGCCAGAGTTCCTGTGGCTTAATTCCAGGAAACCTTTTTTTTTTTTTTTTTTCCCAATTGTTACAAACTAGAGGTTAAAATGGTTTCATATGGAATTTTTTATTCTGAGCTCATTGTCACCAAATCCTCAGTGAAACAATTTCATTTAAAAGCTGCACAGGCAAAATAAGTAGATTAGGGATCACAGAGGAATCGATCCTGAATGATAAGCAGAAAAATGACATCAAGATTGCTCACCACTTGGTCTAAGAAGCATTCATGAAGAGTAACCATGATATATTTCTGCAATAATGAAGACGGTTTCTCCCATCACCACAATAAAACAAGATAATAAAGAGAATTTAATTGCCTCACCTATGGAGGAAAATAGACTAAATCAAAGAATTAGTTTGGGCTACAAATTTAAACAGGACAAAATCATTTAAAACAGAATCACAGCACCATCTACAGTTCAAAGTCTTAACTCACAGATTTTTACAAAAATGCTTTTCTTTCTGTTTTGTTTTCTCTTGTTTAAAGGAATGGGGAGAAAACCAGAGCTCCATTGACCAGCTAATGTAGAGACGTTTTTCCTTATGTTAACCTTGGGGAAAATTACTATATTGAATTTGTCATGGATAGTCTATTATTATAAAACCCAAGGAAAACGCTTCCCCCCCCTTTTTTTTTTGGTTTTTCCAGGCAGGGTTTCTCTGTGTAGCTTTGGAGCCTATCCTGGCACTGGCTCTGGAGACCAGGCTGGCCTCGAACCCCCAGAGACCCCCCTGCCTCTGCCTCCCGAGGGCTGGGATTAAAGGCGTGCACCACCAACGCCCAGCCGATCTTCTGCACAGGGACGCCAGTATATTCCTGTTACAAAGAAATAAGCAGACACCTACAGTAGTTTCTTGCATCACTCCTGTGTTTAGTAATGACCATGGGATTGGAATCCAGGCTCTGCATTCTTGATGACATGCCTTTCCATGAATTATGCAATTCTCACCAGCACTCTTGGTGCTACAAGGTCGGCTAAGCAAATAGCCTGTTAGGATTCATCATCTCCCCTCTCCCTTCTTACCAAGGGAACGAAAGCAATGTCAAAATACTCTACAAACTGAAGGGAGGTCATGTGGAAGGGAATCTGAGGCTACTGTAGAAATCCAAATTCACCCTCATTTTCTTACTGCAAAGCGTACCTGAGCACCATTGTCACCAGGGGAAGCAAAAGCCATACTGTGGTCTAATGCCTGTGTCTGTGGCACCTGTGGGCTGTGTAATTTGTCTTCATTCTGCCCCAGTTCTAAGACATGATAGCCTTGTCACCATAGGAAGCCAGAGGGGTGAAGCCTGCATCTAGGATCAAATAGACTCACCTCTTTGCCTTTTTAAAAAATATGTATCTCAGCCGGGCGTTGGTGTCGTACGCCTTTAATCCCAGCACTTGGGAGGCAGAGGCAGGTGGATCTCTGTGGGTTCAAGGCCAGCCTGGTCTCCAGAGTGAGTGCCAGGATAGGCTCCAAAGCTACACAGAGAAACCCTGTCTCATATGTATATATGTATATATGTATATATGTATATATGTATATATATATATCAAGTTGACTGGCATTTACATATTTGAAAAATCAAAACCATAAAAGCATTCTAGACACATAAAATTACATACAATTTAAATATCCGTGTTCCTATGTTGTTGGCTGGACATGGGCATGCTTTTCACGTTCATACATGGTGTGGTTGCTTTGAAACTACAACACCTGAGACCCTCAAATCCTAGTGTCTCCTCTGATCTTTCATTAAATAAAGCTTCTCAAGGCTGGATAGATGACTCAGTGGAAAAAAAGCACTGAATGTTCTTTCGTGTGGTCCACGTTCAGTTCCCAGTGCCTGCATGGCAGTTCACAATCTTCTGTGACTCCAGCTCCAGGCAACCCAAGGCCCTCTTCTGGCCTCCGCACACATTGCATGCATTTGGCACACAGACATACACAAAAAATAAAAAGAAATATTTTTAAAAGTGCTTATCAACCGTTAGTTTAGGACTTCCTATTTAAGAAAATATTTGTAAACTATATCTTAATATCCTTCATTAGTATAGTATAATTAAATTGCATTGCAACTTAAAAGTATGCATGCATATTATATCTCTATATGTATAATATTTATAACATGATGAAGGGAATATAAAATATGCATGCAAAGTATACTTTATATGAGACCATATAAGGAACATGAACCTATACTGATAACCCTCCTTTTTATTGTATTATTGTGATGTTTTCTCACAAATGTGTGTTGATGCCTTGGAATGTGTATGTACTGTGTAACCGTCAAATCAGGGCAAGTCTATTGCCTGAAGTGTTTATTATTTCTTTAT